CAGCAATTCATGGTCACTGTTGGCACTGCTGCATTTCAAGGAAACTCTGAGAAGCTGTTGAGTAGTAGCGTTGTTTGTATGGCAGGCTGAGTCCCTGCCCTCGGGCATAGCTCTCCAGCCCCACTCTGTCCTGTGCTTTCTTGCGTTGAACCCTAAGGCTGTTGCTTTTAATTTTCAGTGCCAGTTGTTTCTCCAAATATGAAGAAGTGAGGAACAACCTAACAGGCAGAGATAGGGCAATAAAACAACAAATTGTTGTTAATGAAATTCAGTGTAGATAAGTGTAAAGTGATGTGCAGCAGGGACAGGGAGAATGACAGTGTGAACGTCACATACAAAATAATATGCTCTGACTGATCATCACCACAGAAATGAGATCCTGGGCTTGTTGGAATTGCCAGCTCAGCTGAAAATCAAATGAAGAACATAATTATGCCACTGATTAAAGTTGTGGTGCATCTGCATGTTGACTGTTGTGTGCACTTTGTATGCTCAATCCTTCATTCCAAAAAAGATAGAGTAGAACTGGAAAGATTCAGGGAAGTGCAATAAGGATGGATGGATACCTGGAACACCTTGCCTAAGGAGACAAACTAAGCAAACAACGACTATAAACTGAAACAGAAACAACTAAGGTGGATTGATCAGTGCCTATAAAATCAGGAATGATGTGGAAAGGCGACCAGGGATCAATTGTTCATTGTCTCTTCCAGTGCAAGAACCAGGGGAGCTCTGAAGGCAAGGGGCAAGTTCAAAAAAGGAAGGAAAATGCATGGTTCCTCACACAGTATGTGTCTGGACTCTGAAGCTACCTTGCTACAGGTTCAAAAGCCAACTGGACAGACTCCTGGGGCAGTGCTGTAGGTGGTGTCACTCTGTATGACAGCTGTGAGTTGAGGTTCCCGGGAACTGCTCACCAAATCTTGGTCTGTTTCAGTAATTGTCTTAGGATCCAGAAGTGGGATATTGTCACCTCTCATGTAGGAGTGGGGACCCCCATCATGCAGCACTAAAAAAGAAGCTCTTCCGGGTTCTGCAGGCATTTAAAAATGGCAGGTTTGATAACCAGCAGTGTTTTCCAGGTAGCAAGCAATAATTTACCTTTCTCTCTCAGTCCTCCCTCCAAATGGCAGTGTCCCGACCAGGTGCCTCTCCTCATCTTTTGCCTTAAGTGTGTAAAGGCATAAGCCTGGTGGTGTTCCCAGACAAGTGGTCCTTCCTCCAAGCAGAAGAGAAGCACAGTGTCCTTCCAAACGGCCAGCCAGGCTGGGGGGATGTGGCTCCACGTTCCTGAGTTATTCTTCTCATCTGTGTTGGGTGCCCTGCACTACAAAACCACTTCATTTTCATCATTGCAGGCAAAATCTTGATGTAGCTTCTTTTCTCACAACTTTCAGTGTCTTGGATTAAAATACCCCAATTTGCTCTATACCCCAGGCCAAATGTTATTTAAGCATCAGCGTAAAACAAGTGAAACTTTAATGTGCTTGGAAAGGAGAAAAAGAGATGGGGTAGAAAACATATCTGAAATAGTTTTAAGTGAATAGTTTTATTTTAAGAATTCTGTGACTTGAAGGATTTGGGAAAGGGTGGCTGAAATCTGGTGAGGGAATGATCCTGTGGTTGTGGGGTTACGCTCATTTGACCTGGGCTTGTGGTTTGATTTTTTTTCTTTTAAATGTTGGGTGCTAAGGGAGCAGGGGCTAATAAAAAACAAAAATCAGAGCCTGAAAATTTCTGCTTCTGCTGCTTTATCAACATGCCACAGGCATTTTTAAGTGCAGCATTCATTGCCGTGTTAGCAAGAGGAAGATTCACTGTGTGTTTGGTTTTGCTTGTGGGGTGTTGGAGATACAAAGGCACGTTTGCAGGTGTGGTGGGTTTGGTTGCTGTCCCGGATGGCAGCCGAGCTCAGACGGGGGATGATCTCTCATGGAGGGGGGAAATTTGCAACGAGGCTTGGCCTGTTTTAAAAGAGCATGCAGTCATCTTAACTCTGTCAGTGATAATAGGCCCTAAACGCATGCACATTTTTCCTTCATGCATAATGCTGCTTCATATTTAGGATTATTTAGCTTATCCATTACCTCAGTTGTCTGAGGACACACTGTAAAAAACTATAGAAAAGGCATTTTAGGCTATGCGAATGACTTCAACATAAGGAAAGCATGACTAAGGGCTGAGAGAATGTGCAATGAAAATTACCCTTTTCAGGCTGAAGAAAATTCCCAGAAAAACTAGGCATGCGGGAAATGCCTGGCTCTTAACGTAGCTGGTCGTACAGCGTTCGTGGGCAGAAAGCCAGCCCTCCACAAAAGCATTGTGCAAGTGCTATAGTCTTTGTAAACTTGTCATTTCCCCCAAAAATATGTATTTCTGGGGTCTATCTGATAGAAAATACAATCAAAGGACCTTGCTTTTATCTCTTTCTCTGCCTTGGAGTCCTATCTGGCCAGGCACATGTGCTCAATGACTTTACATAATACAAATATGGAGAACCCCACAGGCATTTAAAATAACTTGATTGTGTCGTATCGGTGCTTTTCTGCTGCATCCAGAGTTCCCCCGCGAGGCAGGTTTGGGATGTTATTGCCTGGGCGCTCTCTCAAGAAAGTGGTTTTTGAAATTTTATTTCAACATGCAGGCATAGTTGTACCAGCGATGAAAGCTTGCAAATATGATTTCCTTCTTATCTTAAGAAAAGAGGAAGAGAGTAATCTTGTATTGTCAAACCTCCAGTTACTAATAAATGCTTTATTGCGGTGGTGTTGGAGCTAGCTGAGATCTCGTTCCCACTCTTGCAGCTGTGTACTCAAACTCCTGTGTGGATTCATCTCACTTCCCTATGTACCTGAATTAATTCAGCCACCATTTCTATGATTTTTAATCTTGAAAACAATCCTCCTAATGTGCCCTCGCCATCATCCCCCAGGCTCCCCGAAGCTGGTTCCTGAGGCACAGCCAGAGCCCCCTCACTCCTCCTTCATTTCTGCTTGCCACTCTGTTCTCACTCCAGCATTTTATGGAAGCAAATAAACGGGAGATGTGTCCGTACCCTTCTGCTTAAGAATTAATTCATAATTTCATATGGAAATGTTTCACAGTGATTCAGAATGTATTTCTGATGGATGAGCTGTTCCTACAGAAAACCTACAATGTGAGGATTCTGTTTCCAACAAGGCCTGGAGAAAGCACAATTGTCTGGGAGCTGCGCAAAAACCAGGCGTGGTGGCTTTTCCTCTATAGATATGTGTATTTCAGTGCAGGTTTAATAAATATGTTTCCTTAATCTGGGTTTAAAAAGATTATGTAGGGAAGAAAAGAGAAGCTGCAGGTAGAGGACAAGTCTGCTGGCTGTGGTTACTAGGGAGAAGAGTTGCACTGGGTGCAAGCATGTCACCTGCTGCTCGATGTCTGCAGCATCAAGGAAAGCATAATAAAATACATCTTGGCAACATCACAGAAACAAAACTATAATTAGGAAAGTCAACTACGGTAAGCACCGTAATAAAAATATATCTGGTGAAGTAAAGGTGCAAGGACTTTTCCCCAGAAAAAACACATTAACCTTTTATGGAGGTAGATGTAACCTTGGGAACTCAGGAAAGTTTTGTAATTTCAGAAGGAACAAGAAATGACAATCTGATAACACTTCCTCAAGAATGCAAGGCATTCTTCCTTATGAGTTTCATGTTCAGCGGGATGTGGATGACTCAGGCTACAACATGAAAAATGTATCCAGACCTATAAAGGAATTACTGTAGGTGTGTGCAAGCGGGAGTTGCTTTGTTGCTTCCTAATATGATGTAGATTGTCCTTATAATTTAGTTCCATGTAATGTTTTTTAGTGACTGAGTAGTCAAATGAATTTCCAAATAATTTAAAAATTAGTTTAACTGTGCCTAAAATCAAAGTCTGCTTTCTGCCATGTGATGTAAATCTGTGGGCTTTCCCCGAGAAGGGAATTTAGTTGAAAAATGTTGTTATGAGAGTATCAGTTTATTTTTAAGATATTAGTGTGAGTATCTTTAAGTGGAAAAGAACCCTTTCTGTTTGCATCTTTGCAATGCATGTGGGAACATAGCGGGGCTAGGCGAGGAATTGAAACACTTGAATTTGCTTAGGCTTTCAGGAGGACTGAAGTTTTTGACTTTGAGCTTTGTTCAGTTCTGTGTTATTTTAGGTCTCTGTCAGGCTGAAGCTGATGTAAAGCTGGAACAGTACAATGGGGAGTCAGGCGTCTTGTCTCCAGGCTTTTCCCATCTTTATTAAAAAGTTGAGTTTGATCCAAAACACAGGATCTCAGGCTTCTCGTGTGCTGACAGTCTCTGTCTCTGAAATTCCAGCCAGGATCCAAATTTGTGTATGAGCCCTATATTTATAAACCAAACCTCGGAAACCCACCAGCTCTACTGTTCTGAGGAGATTATTGTGTTGTCCCCTTGGGAACGAGGATTAGCGCAGACATGCCTTCTCACTCCCCAGCACAGGTGCTTAGTGAAAGAGTAACTGCTTGGAAAGCAGAAAGGAGGTCCTTGAAAAGAATTAAGATCGGGCTGATATCCAGGCTGGGAACTGTTCCTGTCCTGTTTATGTTAATTCACACTTGTTTTATAAATATTGAGTGATGGCTGCTTTTTTTGGAAGGTACTGAGCACCTATAGTTTCCATCAATGTGAGCAGGAGTTTTGCATACTCAATGCACGTTCCTTAAAGAAAAGACCTCACGGAGGATGCTTACTGAGTGCCCTGCTTAATCCTGCTGCTTGCAGGAACTGTTTCACAAAGGTTTTCCACTGCTCATTTCAGTTAGGGTTAGCAGATTCTTCCTTGAAGAGCGTAGATGAAAAGTGATCTCCTTACTTGCTGCATAGCAAAATTGGCCCTTGGCTGACTTTGGCAGTCACAATTAGCTATTTTTTTGAAGGCTCTGTTCTCCCACTTGCTTGGGGCTGCTAATGTGTTTGGTCTCAATAGCTGCCCTTTATGTCTCCTGGCAGACCATGCAACAGATGAGCGACCACCGCTACGACAAGCTGACGGTGCCCGACGATGCTGCAGCCAACTGCATCTACTTAAACATTCCCAGCAAAGGCCACGTCCTGCTGCACCGAGCCCCGGAGGAGTACCCGGAGAGCGCCAAGGTGAGAGCCGTGCTGAGGGAGCCCGGGAGACCCCCGGCGTCCTGGCCTCGCCGGGATGTTCCTGGGAATTGAAACTGAGTGCTCCCCAGAATGGGCTCTGGTGTCCCATCCTGGAAATACCAGATGGTGAAGGGTAGGAGGCCTGGGCTCTGTCCTCATCTGCACTACTGATTTAATTACTTTCTCTCTTATGCCTCTGGTGCTTCGTCTGCATAGCCGGAGGTAGCGACAGTTCCCCTCCCTGCAGTGTAGATACCTGTGAATCCCACAGCCAGAAGGCCGTGTACACTGGAAATGTTAGTTAGTGTTGACTACAAGTGACGAGCCGGCTTAGCACCCGCTGATAAATCCATTTCTGTTCATTCACTTAGAGAGAAGGGAAAATAGAGACGTAGAATGTAACGATTTCTGTTCCGTTTTCTTTCCTAAACAGGTATTTGAAAAACTGAAGGACCACATGCTGATCCCAATAGCCAACACAGAACTGGAGAAAGTAGACGGGGCACTCACCTGTTGCTCTGTGCTTATTAACAAACATTCAGAATTATGAGTTTACAGAGTCCCTCCCTTGTACCTGGCAATAATGTTACACACAAGGTAGACGAATCTGTATCCACACTTTTATTGTTTTTATTGACAATCTACTGTACCACTGTGCTACTAACCCTTGTTTACAAATTTTTTGCTTTGTGTATTTTTATTATGTCCTTGCAGATGGTATTTAAGGTGGATGTACGGTTTGGGGGGCACATAACTCTGAAGTATGTTAGTCCCATGGGCTAGCAGAAGACAATTATATGGCTAACCCCTAGCTTTAGTGTTTTAACATATCTGCGTGAAAACTTTATGAAAACCAACTAATTCTTAACATTTCAAGCACCTCTGTTGTCTTTATACTGTTCCTGTCTTTTTTCTCTTGCTTCCTTGCTCTGCATCTTTTTTTCCTTCCTTGGTCCCCTTTTCTTTCAGTGATACAAGGTATCAGGGGGACTGAAGAAAGCTCAATGGGCTCATGAACTTGGTATCTTGTGTGGTAGGGAAGCTTTCCATGCACCACCTGGAACAGTGGGCAATCAATGCTCTGTGCTCCCTGTCTTGGCCATATCACGTTGCTGCTGCCGGGCTGGAATCAGCCTCAGAGACCAGGCAGCAACTTTGGAAAATGCTTCCTCCAACGGGAGCATTCAAGGGCAACGTCTGCCTGGGAAACTTGGATGACAGAGAAAGAGAGAGTAGTGCAGCCACACAAGATACAACCTGCAAGTTCAGGTCCCAATTTGCTACTAATGCCATGACTTTCAATTTGGTGAGAATGGGAGAGAAGTTTTTAAAAAGACCAAATCCCAGGGAGCACCCTGACCACAAAAATGAAAGACTGAGATGCTTTTGGAAAAGTTAAACCTACAAAAATAATCTAAAATATGAGGGTGGGTTAATTCTCTTTGTTTAATTTTTTATTTGTTTGTGTCTCTTCTTTCTGTTTTCTCTTCTTTTGGAGGCCACTTAACTAGCAAAATTCAAAAGAAAAGGGTGATAGAAGGAGTTGAAGGACAGTTATTCCTGGATTATGCTCATGAGTAAGCGAAGCTATTTTTTCCTGAAAGATTGGCATTTGTACTTTATCTGCCCTTGGGGCAGTTTTCCTTGGAACAATAACAATCTTACTTTTTTTTAATTGCATGAATATTTACTGTGGTATTCAGTTAAAACAAATATAATTTTTGCAGCAAATTCCACAACATGTTTACCCACTGAGTCATACTTTTTTTGACCACAGTATAGTGAAGCATACCCCATTGTATTCACACGCTTCTTTGTAAATCATTTGTAAACTAAGGATGAAGAAATTCCCAAACAGAGGCAGTAGTGGGAACTCTCCGGAGACTGACAAATAGTCTGAACATCTTATCAACTTCCTAGACATCTCCTCCACCTTTCCTGAACCACTTGTGGCGTGTTGCTAAGGTACAGTAGGAAGCAGGGGGACCTCAGGAAAACAAACGCTATTAACTGAGCACACACTGGGATGTCCTTTGGAAACCTGCATGCTTTTTGGTGCAGTCATAAGGGAGGAAACGCAAGTACTCATATCCGTAGGTACTCCTCAGCGTATCTCTCACTTCACCTCCGTGGCTAATGAGGAGGAAGCCTCCTGGCAGCTACCACTGTACATGTAAGGCTTTGTGGGCACACCATACATGGTGACAACACCAGGTATCACGAGGGAGAGAGCAATGACGAGCAAGTACGATGTATGTGAGAAGACAGCATGTCCCAAAGGAAGTCTTGAGCCAGGCAAACAGCAAGAGCTGTTTTTATGACTCTGTGCTGTCCCAGAGGGTTCTCCTAATGTTTGCCTCTCGTCTCCTCCATTCCCATGCACCATCATTTAAGCCTGACGTGGGTGATCAGGCTCTAAGGATGTAAACATTGCAGGGGGGAATCTCTTTTTCTGCCTTCCCGTGGTGCTTTTTTAAATATCTGATAAAGTATCTTGCATTTTAAAATGACATGACATTAAACAAAGATTTTTGTGCCAAAAAAGTGGCCCTATAGTATTTAATTGTGACCTTCTAGAGGCGAGCTGTACTCTGTTAAAAACCTGTGCAGCCGTCGGAGCTGTTGTACACAGCTGGAACAGAATCCCCCCGACTGTCCATGCACCTCCTTGGGGCCTGGTCCCCGTCCACATCCTTCAGTCCCTCTTCCTCCTCTCACTAGGGAGCCTCAGCATCCAGCTACACCGGGACAGCATTAGGCTGTGGCATTTCTATTCAATTGATCTCTCAAACTTTCTGTTGTGGTTTCTTTTTTCCTTCCACCCTCTCTCACCTCTCCGCTGTCTCTCCCTTCCTCAAACTCTGGTTTCTAGTTTATGGCATGATGAGCGCTTTTCTCCTTTAACCCCAAGTGATTTTGCCTTCTGTTGCCTCAGTTCTCCTACTGTACTCCTCCCCCTTTGCTGTTCACTCCAAAGTATCCCAACCCGCGGTGGACTATCTTAAACTCACTCTCTCCTTGAGTAGGTGCCAGGAGGGAGGAGAAACTGAGGGGCTCACTTTGGCTCTGAGTGACTTCTTTTGAGCTGGAAGGATGACTGTAAACAGGAGCTATAGATCCAGAGAGTGACATGGGTGACTCCATTTCTTTAGGATTACTGCAGAAAAGAGAAACATCTGTGGTGGACAGTGTTGGTATCTTGTGTCCCTGAAAGCAATAGAATAGGTGACAATGAATTCCCCTGGCTCCGCAAGGGAGGGAGAAGGGGAGTCAGGATCTCGGAGCTGAGAAACATCTGCATTGACAGAGAGGTTGGTCTTTCACCTACTACCATGTAGCTTCCTTGCCTTCAAGGCTGCATTTTGATATACAGGAGGAGGAAGGGAGCAGCTGAGGGACGTGAATTCCCTCGGGTGATGATTTCAAGTTGTATTCAAACTGTCTAACTTCAGGCACAGAATTCAGGTGCTCTAAATCACACCTGCTCTCTCTCTGTTGGTCTCAGTAGGTACCAAAGCCTCCTAACATAGATGCTCTAAATTACATCTTAGCCTGATGCCAGAAGTTACCTGTGCTGGTGGATTGCCCTGACCTCTCCGCTTTTAGCGTTATTCTTTCTTCTGGCATTATAAAGCAAACATATTTAGAGCACTTTTGTGCATTTGCAGTATGGTACTAAGAACTAAAATTACGCCAAATGCTTCTTATTCTTGCTGTTTGCTATTTTTTTTTCTGTTGCCCAAATGAAGAATTCAGTTGTGGGGACATTTCTGCTGTGATACATATGCATCTAATGGGCATCCTGTACATCTTGTCACCAGAACATTTCTCAGATGCCTGATATAAATCATCATCCTAGATTAATATAAATAATAAAATCCCAAACCAAAAAAGGAGACGAGACACTGAACACTAATAGCTGCCCACATGAAACACTTGGTAACAACTGTCAGGCTGTGTGACATAGCAGGCCAGTGCAGAAGTTCTTGAGGTTAATAGCTCAGCAATGGGGATTGAATTACTCATCAAAAGGGTTTTTTTCCTTTGAGCAATCAGTTTAATTCAGTTCAAGTGAAAGAGCTACAATGTGCATTATAGATCTTTCACGGATGTTATCTTTGCTGAGAGTTTAGGGGGAGCTGTGATATGTGGGTTTCTTTCTTCACCGGAATGTGAATACAGTGTCTCGCTCTGCAGTGAAAATGTGAATGCGTACTGTTCCTTATAAGATAAACTTGAATTCTTCTATTTCTGCATTTTTGTCTTTTCCATGCTAATATACTCCTTTTGGATCCTAAATAGCTGCCACTGTATGAAGCTATGCTCTGATTTTTTGGTGATTTCCATGTGATAGGTACAGAGCTCATAGGCAACACTATGTCCAGTTTTAAAAACAAAGAGTCAGTGCACAGAATGCCGTTTGTTCACAGCAAATTGGGGATGAAATATTGAAAAAAAACCCCGAGTTTTTGATTTTATTCAGCTCCTTATATCGGTAAAGTCGGAACCAAATTATTTCAACATCAACATTCACATGGAACCATTTGGGGGAAATAATTTACTATTTAAGATTCTCTATTTTTGCTTTTATCAATAAGGAAGCTGAAAAGATAAGACTGCTTAAAGAATGGTATTTGTTAAGTGATTGTGAACAAAGTATCATTGGACCTCACATGTATTTTCAGAAAAGTTTTAACTGGACGTATGATGTAACTTGTATAGGGGTGCATGTGAATTGTGTTAGTCACTGGTTTACATTGTATTGTTCTGCAGTGCACAAATATGACTACTGAACACACAAGTGTTACATTTCATTAAATTTAAAATCTTGTTGCGGTATATAGTTCCCCACTTTTTGTGCCAAAAATACCAGTACATTCCATAACATGTTCTAATAGAGGTTTGCACTTTGATTTTACTTTTTGTGACTCTTGCAGTTTCAATACTATATATCCCCATCACGAAGGAATAAAGTGTCAGTTGTACTGTGCACTGTGTAGTTTTTGCCTTTTGTTTTGAAACTGAAAGCAAATGCATTTAATTTAATACTGTTTCATGCCATCTTTTAATTTGGAAGCTTGTTACATGCCTAGAAATAAAGCCAATTATAGACAGTAGTGCTAAAACCTTTAAGCCTTTTAAAAGAAATCTTGACTCTTTAAAAACAAATCATTATTTTAGACTTTACATTTAAGAATAATGTATAAAGAAGGATATCGTATGCGTGTTCTAGATACAATGGTTGTGACTAAATTTTATTATTGTCCAAGATAACTAAACAGATGTTACTGTGGTATAGTATTTTCTCTGTAGTTCCTGTATTTACTGTAAGTTACAAAAGGTGAAACTACAAAGGTTTAGTGGCATGACCATTATGGTTAAATTATTCACATAGCTCTTGTGTCTTTTCTCCCCCAGGATGTCAAGAGAGGTGACTACATTTCTGACATTGCTTTGTGGTAACATGACAGATGGTCGCATGTTTTATATGTAAATACTACTTGTCGTGTGCTACAAATAGTGCATGTGGGGCTAATCTCTGCTTGTACCCTTGTGCTCTAATATCATTAGGTATTGATACTAGGATTAACGATCTCGGGAGACAGTGCAGTTACTCCATGTGTGTAAGTGCTCATGGGCTTTCAGTGCCACCTTGTGGCAATCCAAGACTCAGAAATCCAAAGCTTCAGAAACCCAACATAAATTAACAGCACTGTAGCGAAAGAATTATATTACTTCCAAACCGTACGGCTTTGCTAGTAATAGGACTTTAAATAAACCATAATCTAATACTCTTATTGCTGGAGAAGCAGGGACAAGGAAAAATTTCATCAGGGCTGATTTAAATACAGCCTTTGTACTAATTTAACTATACTGATTAAAAGTATGATTTTTATACTAATATATTTAAATCAGTGCTATGTCTAATATGGATATGTTTAGCTTGGTGTAATTAATATAAGAAAGTATTGCATGTACATGCATCTTTGTGTACCCATATCTACAGGAGACGGTACCAATTTACTTGAATTTGGTTTTAAATGGCAGTAATTAAAAATAACAAAAGCTATACAAGCCGCTCCCACTTGCCACATAAAGAAGTTCCTCACAGAATTTCAAAAGCAAAAGGACTGCTCTTTGAAAAATTTAGCTGTAGAATATTAGTTGAGCAAGTAGAGACTTCTGCACTTGGATGTACGAATTCACCCTCTGCCGTAAGTACATCCTGCCAAAAAAGCATCAGTCACAGTCTCCTGCATCATAAACTCTGGGCATCCTGAATCTCTCAACAACCTCACCCCCAAAAATTCATGAGCTGTAGGTTCATTGCTGGGGGTTTGTAGTTGCAACTTGCAGATATCCATTTAGTTTGGGCAAAGCCCTTGATCTTGATCTGTAACTAAACCAAACTCTCTCTGCCTGGCAGCTTTTCTCCTCCTCCCTAGGGAATTGTGGGTGTAGAGCCCTGCCGCTCTCAAAAGGGCCAGGGGGGTCCTGCCAGCTCCAAAAAGCAATTGTCCTGAGGCAGGACCCAGACTCTTGAATAAGGACCAGGAGGCAAATTGGGATGGGAGCACATGAAGCTCCCAGGTAGAGTCTCCTGCCCTGCAGTAAGGAGAGGCTGCTGGGGAGGGGCTGATCAATGAGGGCAGAGGGGGAAGAAAACCAGGAGCCAGTCACAGCCCTGACAAGCCGACTGACCTCTCCTCACAAACTGTGACAACGTTGCAACATTTTCTAGGACCAATATTGTGAAAGATTTGAAGAGCTCTGGGTTGTAAGCAGTTTCCAAAATTTATATGGAAATTTACTCTAGAAATGTATTCTAGATGGACATTACATATGTACGTACTCATAAAATCAATGCAGTGTCCAAAATCTTCCCAGCTCCCTTGAAAGAAATAACCCTTGACTCACTCTTCATTGAGGCTCGCTTCTTAATATTGACTTGATGTTAACTTCCTGGAACGAGTTTCTTGCTGAGAGTAGTCTTCTTCCAGCTGCCTGGACCATTAAATCCTGTTAGGGTTTATCAGCATTAAGTCTGCTAAAATATATTCTATTCTTGTATTCTCTAGCCACATGCTCTTTTTCTGGCTTGCTAAAGTTAATTCATTTCAGTTTGTCTCATACATAGCTCAGGAATCCAGAAGCCTAACCCTGCAGACATCACGTGGCTTTGTGCTGCGCCTCTCGCTGAGCAAGGTTATTAACAAGTTCCCTAAATCCAGAATGCATGATAGCTATTTTTATCAGCGGCATTGTACAGAGCCAGCGAAGTCTACAGTATAATTCACCTTGAAGAGGAGGAGCTGGAAGGCACTTGGTTTAATGAACAAGGATTGGAGTCAGGTGCTGGGAAGACGCCTGGCTCCATCTCACTGGAAGCACCAGAGAATCTGAAACCTTTCCGTGTATTTGGGTGCTTAGTACAGATTAGGGAGGATCAATGTAGGCAACTTGGGCTTGAAAAAAATGGCCTGCCCTGCAGCCCTCTGAGCAGGGAAATGGGAGACAAACACCTTGCATTTCAGGTGTTTAATCCAGAGATACACAGGCAGCTTTGAGAAATTCAATCGCACTACAGCAAACAAAGGCTTCTTGGGGTGGGAATAACACCACAGAAGGATGTGGGTTGTGAGCAGATGTGTGCTGCCATGTTACCAGCAATCAGGTGTGCAGGGCTGGATGGTGAGGATGAGTCTAGGAATTTTGACGGGGCAGGAGGGACCGTCACAGCAGTGGCAGGGAGCAAAGATGGTTGGGTGTTTTCTGGCAACCAGTCTGGGGACTGGCTGTGATTTTAACACCCAGCTCTACAGAAAAGAGCCCTGTCACCAGGTAAGAACAGTGACTAGTCCTTTATTTGTCAAATATTCTGGCGGAACCTTTGCTAACCAATGGGTTTATTGAAAAGCTGGGAATGCTAGCACTGTAAAATAGGCATCATTGCAGTTAATATTTGAAGTACTATTGCATTAACAAGGCGTATCAAGCAAAAGGACTTTGCAAAATATGGGAAAACCGGTACTTTTGCCTTACTGACAGCAAAACCCAGTATTGATTGCTTCTATTTCTATACACTTTGATGTTTAACTGCTGGAAATGAAGTTTTCGAGACCGCAGCAATAGCCTGAGTTTTATCTTTGACAGCTTTAAAAAATACCAAGGAATGAAGTTTTGTCTTCTGTCTTTTCTTTAAGAGTTTGTTGCTGCACAGGAGCAGGGCCGGGACTGGGGCACGGGGCTGTCCGGCCTTCGGAGGGATGAAGGGGGAGCTACTGTCTGCTCCATGGTGTACAGCCTGGCTTGTTCTCGCACCTGCAGCAGCCTTGGGAGCTTTACACCAGTGGGTTCAGACCGCTGTCAGTCCCTACGATCTGCTGTAAATCCCCATGCCCTCCTATCACCAATCGTTTATCTTAAAAACGCATCATTGTCATGTAGATAAACCCCAGCCCTTCCGTGCAGCGTTGCTAATAACCCCAGGAGCTGCAGGCCCGAGGCACCCGCCCCGACTCATCGTTTCCAAACACCTGTTTTAAGGGAGTGGGTGTTAAAAGGCCCTCGGGAGGCCGTTGCGAGCGGCAGACGCAGACGGCTGCCACAGTCTGGTGGAGGTTCCGGAGAAGGGCAGGGTTTAAGCCGTCAGAGGAGCCGCTCCCTGCGCCCAGCAGGCCCGGCGGTTCGTGGCTGCCTGCGGCCGGCAGGAAGAGGGAGAAGCAGCCAGCCCTTGCCGAGGTCGGCTCCCCGCCGCGGGCCAGGCCC